AGCTGTGGCGGCAGGCCTTTTTTAAACAGATCTAGCAACTACCTGTGGCATTATTTAAATGACAATTGTCGTGAGCGCAATTTGACAGTTTGAGATCAGCCTATAAGTATGCAAATCTTTTTGCTTGCGCGCTGATTTTCTCTGCTCGTGCACTAAACTTCTTGCACGCCCCCTTAAATATGCGCTGCTCAAATGCAGATCTTCTTGTGCGCTCTCAAATAAACGCTGCTGAAGTGCGATTTAGTGCGTTTATGTAACAAGTATGTCTCCAACATTTATTAGATTTGCTAGGAATATTTATGAATGTCTCCAATAGACCTACAGAGCGATATTATTGCGTCCTAAGATAAAGTGAAATGGCTATACGTTGTGTTTGCTGGCCTCATGCTTCACGCACATGTCAGTCAGTCAGCCAGTCAGTCAGCACGTACTGTAACCTTAGAAGGTTAAACAAATACGACTACGGTTACAGTAAAGTTTGCGCTGTTATAATTCACTTACCTTTTAATACATTTTAGTGCCATTATCGCCCGCTATTAAAAAAAAACATGACTGAATGTTTTGAATGACAAGATGTAATGTAGCCGTGGCAGGATAAATTTTGGCATGGCGCCCCGCCATTGAAGAATGAATGTAGTGGAAACCATGAATTTTATTCAATTAAATTAAGTAATATGTTTAACTGACACACATAATGATGACTGTGTTTGCAGCATAAATGCAAAGCTTTAGGCAACATTTTCCCAGAATCAATGTGCAAAAACCCAAAGTGTAAGAATTATCCTCCTCTGCTTTATGTTAGCATGTGCATTAGAGAGAAAGTTAATCAAGGGAGGGGACAGAAGCAGACAGAAAGAAAGAAGAAAAACAACACACAGTGAAAAAAGTGTGAGGGAGAGAGAGAGAGAGGCAAGGCTCGCAATGTTGTTCCATTCGGCTTCCTAATCCTGCTCTGCCTCCAGCATTCAATTAACTCCTCACCAGCAGATCAAATGACTGGCTAAAAGAGAGTGTGACCGAGCCTAAACGCTAATTAATACTTAGGAATCAATGCCCCTCAATACTAAATGTCAAATAACAGTACAAGAGAGAACAAGCAGTTAGGATGAAAAGCTCACTTTTGTGTTACGATGGATATTTATGTTTCTGGGATGAAAATAACAGCCGGGCCGGTTCAGACACGTGGGCGCAGGCTGAATGTCAGAGGAGACATAATGGGGAAAGAAAAGTGAAAGGTGCTCCGCGCCAGACACTTCAGCGAGGAGTTACAGCCGAGCCGCATTACCAATAATGTACTTTCTGTTCGTCTCTTTCGTTGTCCATTTGTCACTCTCACTCAGTCTTTCTCTGGGAGGTGTTACAGGTGTACAGTGCTGCTATAACAGAATGCCGCTGTTCAATCTGGGAGTCTGATATTAGGATCCATTCAGGCCGATCTGATCCCAAATAGCCAGGTGAGATGAATCGGTGGAGGTAATGTGTTTCGAATGGGTCTCCTGTGAGCATTTGTGATGGTACCTCAAGGGAAAGGTCTCTGACTTCCGCACTCGACTATAATGACTATATACGGTGCCCAGCATAAATGTGTACACTCTTTACAGATGTCTCTTTCAAATGAATACTGTTCATAGAATGCTGTACAATAATGTATTTGTGTATATATTATAGATTAGTCAGTACCAAAGCCAAAACAGAAACTAATTTAACAAAACAACTTATTATTACGATGTACTTTAGTAGACGACAATTAATATGTTAGAGAAAAATATTAAATACCTTTAAATGAAAGAGAAAAAAAATTAAGAGAACCATATAAAAATAACAAACTTTGATGAAAGTTATGTATTATCGTTATAGACCATTTCAATGTGATCACGTTATCGGCCCATGAACATTTCCTGCTTATTATCAAACAATTTCATAACTGTCAGAAAAGACAATTCAATCATAGCCGTATGTTAAAACAGCTATCATAACATCATCAATATGTGGCTCTTTTTGGAATCTCTGAAGCTATAGAAATTAAAAATGTAAATCAGGAAATACGTTGGCACTATTCTTTTTGTTTACATCTCTCAAAATTGTCTATGTTCCTAAAGATGTAAGGTGACCACACTTTTGTATTAATTGATATTTTGTTTAAACCGACTAAAATACATTTCTATATTCATAATAAAAATAAAAGAAATAGGTAAAACATATTGATTTTCTCATTTTATTACGTTTTTCACATTTTGTTTAATAATTTTTCAAGCCATTTATTGAAAGTGCATTTTATTTAGTTTAAACATGATTTTTTTTTTATGTTTTGTTTTTATTTTCTTTGTAATTCGAATGTGAATGTAATAAAGATGTGGAAAATGGAAAGGCAGTAAGCCGAAAAAACGGAATTATTTACCCACTTCATGTACTGCTTGGTGATAGATTATTATTTTGTAATGATTTTCATTACATAATTTTTATCTTAATTTTGATGGATTTTTTGGTAAATTTCCTGTTTATTAAACTAGAGAATCGAACAAAAGCAAATGGAGTGAATTGCGATTGAAAACAAAACCAGCAACCATACTTTCATGGCCTAATTGTTTTATGTGATTATTCTGGCTAAACATGTTCAATAATGATTTATCTAATATTCATATTTAAAATCCTAAATAAAATTTACACACTGAATTCACAAATTGAGGCAGAATCAGCTTAAAAGTTTTTTTTTTAAACATTAAATTTACATAGAATAAAATTGTTATTATTTAAAGGTGCAGTATGTAAGTTTGACAACCAGTGGTTGAACTAGGTATTGCATTCCTGGATCAAGACACACACACACACACACGCCGGTTGCCAGATTGATGACCAACAGGAGACTAAAGACTAATTTAAGGCAAATTTTAAATGTTTTCTAAATAAAAGCAACGGCACACTAGGAATATTTTCGATATTAAAAGGAGTTTTTCTCCTAACCAACACCTGAAATTTATATTTTAGAAATGGCTTCTATTTCTTGCAGCTGAACAACAGAACTATGACAATGATCACCTCAGGTACACCTTATGTGATTTATTCAGTGTTAAATGCTAATAATGTGAGTTATTTTGTTTCTATTTTGTATTTTGAAATATTATTGTAGTTTTATATTTGTCTTCCTCTTTCAAGCTTTGGGAATATTGTATCATTTACAATCATGCTAATGAAAGGAATTCTGAATTGAATTGAACTGAATTCTGAACTCAGTTTGAATGCCATTTTACATGACATGAAAGCAGCAGCAGATAGTTCACCTCAGATCCTTAAAAATAAAATAAACTGTTTGTAATTGAACTTAAGAACTGTGACTCAGTGCAAGCCAACACATGTCGTTCATAATATTAATATTTTTTGCTAATTAATAACCTCACGTGGAACTCTGAATCTGCGTCTCATTTGTGAGGGTGTTACTGTCCACCGGCGGTCGCTTTTTGGTCACAGACATACACTTTGAGAGCCTTTCTGACTGAAGGAATGAAATATACGGTTTTCCAACAAGGCAACCCGCAGTGCTTCAAAATAATTGGCTTAAGTGGCAGTGGGCAAGTTAAAGGAACTAAAACAACGACAGCCGCTGCGGTGTCCTGACATTTTATCCTACCTATCAGATTATGCTACCGCCACTGGATTTGAATGGTTCGATGTTGGAGTTAGGTATTAGGTAGGTTAAGGCAATATTACAGCTTTATATCACACTAATCCACATTAAATTTTTCACTGGTAGCAAAATCTAAAGGGTAGCATATTACATCACTAAAATGTGCTACCTCCTTTTTGAATGGTTGGTAGGACAATCTGACTGTAACGGGAATGTCACACTGACAACAAGGTGCGGATCCAAATGCAGGTTTAGTCGAATGGTCAGGCAAGCAGTGGTCAATACAGGGGCACCCAGATGTATAAGGGCAATCCAGGGTCTTAGTCAAAGTAACAGGCAGATGGTGACAAGGCAAGCAGCAAACAAGATTAAACAAATAAACGTGGCAAGAATCAAAAACACGCCAACACAAGACAAAGGTAATGCGTTGTAATGTCACTTAAACAGATAACAGGACTCAGCAACATTGTGTGTGTTTGTGCTGCTTATCTAGTGCAGTAATCAGTCCAAAAGCAGCTTCAGCTGTGAGTGTCTAATCAGTAGTGACTTGGAGCAAGTGAGCGTGTGTGTTGCATGACTGGGATCTGTAGTCCATAAACTGGCAGATTTTTCAGCTATCTATGGTGTTTAGATCACTGGTGATTGTGACACTGACAAGGTAGGACAAATCGTTAGAATACCGGCACTGAGCCCACAATTTCAAAGCAGAATATCTGACTTTAGCATTGTTTTTCAGTTGAACAAGAATGTTGACTTACAAAACTTACATACAGCACCTTTAAATGTAACTGTATTGCTAATATTAATTTATAACTAATACTGATGCCAATTTCTCAATTAAAGCTTTTTGTTCATTTATTTATATCGTAGTGATTAATGTGTAAATATATTCACTGCTTTTTGGTCGAAAATACAGTGTGAATTCACTTTTTATCTGCTTTTATTTAGAAAAAAAATATGCAATGAAATCAGCTGTTTACTGAAATACTATTCTTCCGGTATCAAATGCATAACGTGATCCATCAGAAATCTTTATAGGTTTCTGAATATTATTATCACATTGAAAAAGGAAACTTTGCAGTTTTCTAATCAAATATAATCAAAATAACCACTATAAATCTCTTTACTGTCATATTTGATTGATTTATTGTGTAACGATAACCATGATGAAATGCCTCTTGCAATGAGCACCTGGAACTGTAAAGGTCTCCCACCCACAGCATCCATCGCTAACCTCATGCATGCTTGTGCACCTGTCTGTTCACCCTTTTCAAAACACTCTATTAGTTCAGAGCTCCTTCTGAGCAGGTGTTGTAAATGTGTGTACGTGTGTGATTGTCAGCGTTTGAACTCCGGCGTCCCGCTAAGCCTGACTCACCTCAGCACCTCGTTGGGGTTTCCTGACTTGCTGCCTTTTTTGTCAGGTGCGCCGTGGCATCCAGACTTCAGCAGCGTGTGAGGACCCCGGTCCAGCATCATTGTGGAGGTTGCCATGGCGATTATGGCTACAGCATCACGCACTCGAGCCTCCAGGCCATAGTCCCACTCATCATAAGAGACAGAGATCAACCCTGAGATAAAGGAAGACTATATTTAGTCAAAGAAAAATGTCAATTTAAATGAGTTCAACCTTATTCGCATTCGTCCAGTGTTTCCTACTCATCCCTTTAATTTGTCCTGCTGCTCCCATTTCATAATGAATTTAAATATGTTTGGTTATATAACTCATTATAGTATAAAATGTATCTAACATTTGGATTTGCAAAGGAAACTAAAAATCACACTAAAGCGAGGTCGCAAATGGCTGTGATTTAATTCAATTACAGTCCAGTCTGTTGCAGAGTGTGTATTAAAGTGAAGCACACACTTTGCTGTGATTGTAGCCAAAAATCTGTACACGTACAGTAACACATTTGATTGTATAAGCAATGTGTTAAGATGCAAAGTTTTAGTGTGACTTCAGCTATATTGCATCTGATGTTTTTGTACATATTATTACATATAATCTAATATATATATATATATATATATATATATATATATATATATATATATATATATATATATATATTTTTTTTTTTTTTTTTTTTTTTTTTTTTTTTTTTGGTAACTCCTGAGAGATTTGATCCATATTGACATGATAGCATCATGCAGTTGCTGCAGTTTTGTCGGCTGCACATCCATGATGCGAATCTCCCGTTCCACCACATCCAAAAGGTGCTCTATTGGATTGAGATCTGGTAAATGTAGTGGCCATTTGAGTACAGTGAACTCACTGTCATGTTCAAGAAACAAGTCTGAGATGATTCACACTTTATGATATGGTGTTCATCCTGCTGGAAGTAGCCATCAGAAGATGGGGACACTTTGGCCAGAAAGGGATGGATATGGTCAGAAACAATACTCAGGTACTGTAGTCTGTGGCATTGACACAATGCTCAACTCGTACTAATGGGCCAAAAGGGTGTCAAGAAAATATCCCCCACACCATTACACCTCCAGCAGCCTGAACCATTGATACAAGGCAGGATGGATCAATGCTTTCATGTTGTTGACGCCAAATTCTGCACTTTTGGTGAGCCTTTGTGATTTGTTGTTCTTAGCTGACAGGTGGCACCCGGTGTGGTCTTCTGCTGCCCATCCGCCTCAAGGTTGGATGTGTTGTGCGTTCAGAGATGCTCTTCTGCATACCTCGGTTGTAACGAGTGGTTGTTTGAGTTACTGACGCCTTTCTATCAGCTCGAACTAGTCTGGCCATTCTTCTCTGACCTCTGGCAAAAACAAGGCATTTGCACCCACAGAACTGCCGCTCACTGGACAATTTTCTTTTTCAGACCATTCTCTGTAAACCCTAGAGATGGTTGTGCGTGAAAATCTCAACAGAACAGCAGTTTCTGAATTACTTAGACCAGCCCATCTGGCAGAAACAACCATGCAATATTTAAAGTCACTTAAATCACCTTTTCATCTCCATTCCCATGCTCAGTTTAAACTGCAGCAGATCGCCTTGACCATGTCTACGTGCCTTGATGCATTGAGTTGCTGCAATGTGATTGGCTGATTAGAAATTTGCGTTTACAAGCAGTTAGACCGGTGTAACTAATAAAGTGGCCAGTGTGTGTGTGTGTGTGTGTGTGTGTGTGTGTGTGTGTGTGTATACACAATTACATCATATGCTGAAATACAGCAATTTCAATGGCTGTTGTGCTTGTTTGTGTCAATATGATCAAACTGTGTTGGTTGAGATAATCAAACTTCACACATTTCTTACAAAACATCAGCCTAATTGCTAAAGATTTTGTAGGCAGGTTTTGGTTAAAATGTTTTCACCGAAACAGCATTTTTCCACCAAAAAAGCTCAAGTGATGTTTTTAAATGTGAGGAAATTAATACAAATCAATGTACATACCAAAAAATTAAAATTAATACAACTACTTTAGGTAAGTCCAGGTACGAGTCAATGATCTCTTGAGTAGGTAGTCCACTAAAAACTAAAATACTTTGCGACTGTTAAAAAAGTGTGTTCTATATAGTATGTATTAGAGAATGCAGTCCAGATATACAACATTTGCCATGTTGCCATTATCACATGATACACCAGCATCAGTAGCCATTTATTATTATCCTCTCTTGTGGCCTCATGGGATAGTAAAGTGTCCATAGTATACACACTTCAGAATCGTGCCAGAAGAAATCGGCCATCTGGGTACTTTTTTGTCAATTCTTTGACAAAACTACAGATTCAGTACAAGACTATTGGTTTTGGAGCCCTTAAAGGGATTGATTGCCCAAAAATGAAAATTAAGTCATCATTTAATCACCTTTCACTTGTTTAAAAACTGTTTGAGTTACTTTCCTCATTTGAACACAAAAGAAGATATTTTGAAAAATGTTTGCTGCCGGCACGCATTGACATTCATGAAAGTCGATGCGTGCCAGCTATCACTTTAATTTTCAAGTCTCTGATGGATTTATTTAAATATAAACTGTACACAATACTCAAACCCTCCAGTATCATGTGGAAGTCCTTCTTTTCTTACCTGTTGGAAAGACATTGGGCACATTATCTGTATCCCCTGCCACCAAAGATGGTACGATCCAGGTATAACCGTAACCAGTGAGGCCAACAGAATGTGCCACTTCAAAAATGGTGGTGGCTTCTTCTTTAGTGCAGTACAGCAGTATAACAGGACTCTGGAGCTTCTTCATTTGGTTCTGGATCTTCGAGTCTCCATCATCCACTGACATGTCCAACAGCAGCACCTCTTCCAGCTCCCAGCCGACAAAACTGTTATCAACGGTACTCCGTATCTGGAAGATGACAAAACAGAGAGAGATAGAGATGAAAAACTCCACTGCTTGCGTTTGTCCTTCAGATATGAACAGAAAAGAAAGTTGAAAATCAATGACAAGACAAAGGGAGGTAAGAGAAAGTCATTTTTTTTATTTTAATGAACAAATGATAAAACTAAACCTAAAAAGTGAAACTCCCATCATGCACCACTACAAGTTTGCAGCCCAGCAAACATGTTTTGATCTCTCTGATTCGTGAAGAAGCAAACCTAACCCACATTTCAAAACGCACAAGTCTGCGCAGCTCTGAGACTGAGGAGACGGAGAGGAATTAAACTGCATTTCCTCATAACAAATTGTTCAAACACGCATCCGCAGAGATGCTCTCCATTATAATCAGCTGCAGTCAGAACTAGAAGATGAAATTATTGCACCCACATTTCTGATGATGCATATTTCCGTATCGGCCCATATTTTCAGCCAATTTGACAGACTTGCGAATTGCACTGACAGTATCATTACACAAATGCAGTCAAGTGCAGAGTGAGCTTTCAGTACCACAGGGGTAAACACGCAAAAAAAATAAAAAATCCTGTGGTGGCCCCTAGTACACTGATACTATTAGACTGCAATACTAGAATACTGAATGAGCTCTATATTATGGGTCAAATATTAAACAACAGCCAATTTAGGAGTCAAATTAATTGAACAAATGTGTTTTATCATGGTTCATTTACTACTAAAAGCAGGTTTTTAAAGTCTCTAAATACAAATTTCCTTAAAGAAGCAGATGTCTCAGAAGAACCTCAGACACACACACACACACACACCACAATATTACAATGAGAAAAAGGCAGTCAGTGTTGCCAGATACACCTGAATGTTTTCAGCTCAACCTGTCCAAAATTCTCCCAATGCCTAAAAACTAAAAATGAGTAGGTGCACACTTGGTTTTTGTTAAATATTTATCATGAAATACATGTTCAAAACATCCAAACTGATCCCAAACCAGGCCAAAACAGGTCAGTCCTCCTAAGCTGTTTATTACAAGGACAATCAAATTCTAAACCTGCAAAAAGATGTTGGGGAATTTGGCCTGAAATCAAAATCTCAATTCATTGAACATTTTAACTCGATTATAATAATCAATATAATTATATTAATTAATTAGTTTAATGAACAATTATTTTATTTATTTATTTATTTTTGCCCCTCATAGTTCATTGACAGGTTTTGTACAGTATAAATATGCTCACATATTTCTAAATGAAAGATGCATTTCTTATAGTAAAATAATTGAAGGAAACTCACACTATCTACTATCTATGACTATTTATTGAACATCAACGTTGAACAACTGAAATTAAAACACACATTGTCTAGAAACAAGTCACTTCTTGACAATAAATAACTTGCACTTTTGAAACAAAATCAATTATTTTTTGTGTTTTTCATATTAAAAGTAGAAAACAATCAGCATCTCTTCTACTGTACATAAACACGCTTGCATATCATGAAAATCATATTTTAAAACATTTCTGTAAACAAATATTTCAATGTAAATAATCATTTTAATGTAAAGGAAAATATGTCACCTCAAGATATCTCTAGCACAGCCTGCAATCATGGTCAGTTAAGAGCAAAGTATAGGCTCAAGAATGGGACCTCATCGTACTTGACCAGAGATCAGATGTGCATGTAAAGTGTGGCCAACAGAGCGGGGTCATTTGACTCCCCACGCGGTAGGGCAAGTAATTGAAAAAAATTGACCTAGAAAATTGACCTAGGGCATCCGCTGCGTAAAAACATGCTTGATAAGTTGGCAGTTCATTCCGCTGTGGCGACCCCGGATTAATGAAGGGACTAAGCCAAAAAGAAAATGAATGAATGAATGAATGATTGCTTCTAAATGTCGATTGATCATTTTTCGATTAATCGCCCACCCCTAGCTCAGATGTTTAATCAGTTATGTTAACTAATATATATGAGTTCAGCTGACTCTTTCTTTAAATATAATAAGTTCAGCCAAGTAAAACTTTGATATGTAAGTTATGCTGGCACATTGAATCCAGATAAGGTAATGTAACATAATTAAGTTGTGATAACTAATTAGTGCACTCATGTTTTACAGTGCATTTAAAAAAGTTTTATATTTCAGTTTATACCTGTGTTTTCTTCAGTTTACAGACAGAAGAGCTCATTTTATTTTATTTTTAATATTTCAATTACAAGAAATTAATTTTAGCAGGTACAGATTTGGCTTAAGTTAAAAATAACACAAATAATGACAAATATCCCAACACAAATCTATTAAGTTAACTTATCAAATTTATTTGGATTGAACATAAAATAATTAAGTTGTCACGAAAACATCTTAAGAATTGTGTTGTTTCAGTTCATTTTAAATGAGTAGTTTAAACAAGCAGGTAAACTTTTTTTTGAAAGTTTTTTTGAGTGTAGATACACCGATATTTAAAATCTATTTATTTAAATCTGACCAGTGATCAAGAAAGGTACACTTAAATAAAATCAAACTAAAAGTTTGATTTAAGAACGTTTTAGTTAAAGAAATAAGTTTAAGAACTAAAGTTGGAGAAACTTTAAGTTTAGGAACTAAGTTTAAGAACTAGTTTGAGAAAGTTTTGCATACTATCCTTATCAAATTTGAAATATATACTCATGACACACTTTTCTTTCAAGGCATATTACAAGACTGATTTCATCTGTTTGTATTTGAAAAAGCTAATATTGAACAGTACATTTTTTCTTTCTCATTACTTCAAAATGAAATATATATATATATATATATATATATATATATATATATATATATATATATATATATATATATATTTTTTTTTTTTTTTCAATGATATCTATTTTTATTTGTAGCTTACTGGAGTCAAAAAACTGTTATTATTTTTAGTTAGGTAGGTGTAAATGCTTAATAATGTTTGCCAACTAAAGCTAAATTAATTAAAAACAAAAAACTTTTATATGCTCACAGTATAAAAAAATTTGAGATATTCTAAAAATTACTGAATTTAGCAAAATTAAATAAATGTAGAAATCGTACAATAGTACAAATAAATTACCAATACCCACTCCTCATATTTCTACATTTCAAAAAGGTAATGTGTAATAATAAGTCTGTTACATTTGGTTACAATATGAAATCCTCATTTAAATACCAAGGCATTTTCCATGTAATTTACAAAACACCCTGCAGGAGAAGATAAAAGTGCAGGTAATGAGGCAGTTTCAGAAGATGAAACGGCTTAAATAGAAAGAAGAAGAGAACAGATGTCCATGTGGCCGGAGAGCAGAAAACAGCCCTGGACACAGTTTGTTAAAGCTCCTGGAATGGCCTGAACCATTGTTTCCCTCTCAGCAGACAGCAGCCCAAACACCTGGCACAGGTCTCGCTGGTCCACATCAAAAAGCCCACTGCAAACACCTGAAAAACACCAAGAGCCTCCTCAACAGGCACAGCATCCTCTCTGCTGCACTTCTGCTTCACCCTGAGCTGAATTACTGAAGCTACAGCCAAATCAAAGAACTCAATCCTGCCTGCTGCCCTGGGTATTGAACAACTTTAACCACAGCACTGTGGGCCAAATGTACATTCGGGAGGAGTGTGGCAAAGCTTTTGCTGCCCAGTTGAGAGGACATGTAGTAGGGTTATTAGAGTTCATTGCAACAAAACACATTAAACTAAAATAATTGTTACGTATAAACACCAGCTGGGGGAAAATAATGTATAGAGAAAGATATATAGGGACTATAATATATAGAGAATTAAAGACAAAACCACTAAAATATTCATTTCAAAACAGAAAAAGTATATATAATTATTAGGGGTGTGAAGAGACCTCGCAAGACTAAATCGCAACGAGATTTCTCGTTGAGGTGAAATATTGTCACGTGAGCTGTGATGTTATGATGAGCGTTAGGATGAGTTTAGCATTGAAGACTGAAGGCTGGATTGGTTTTGAACCTCATTTCAAGTGTTTTGGACACATCTGGCAACCTGGGCTGCCTCGGTGTCGCATCCAGTCGCGTAGAGTTTATAGTAAAATATTTTGCAGTGTTGGCATGTCCTTTGTGACATATTTCATTAAAATAAAGTAAAATAAAATTCATTACAAGTTTATTTTAAAAAGCACCTAAATTGTTTTGGATTTTGTTTTTGCTTTTTCTTTAGTTGAATAAAAATCTATTTTTCATTCATATATTAGCAAATATTTACAGCATAGAATTCAACATTAATAAAAAGCACCTAAATAGTTTTAAAACACTATTTCTCATTCATTCATCCTTGAAGATTCCCAAAAACAGTATAAAAATCTCATCTCGTCTCATTCTTGTGAACCCAATCTCATGTGTTGTCTCACCGCTAATAATAAAAAAATTAAAATTAATTTATTTAAATGTATTTAAACGTAAATAACTATTTTTTTATCCGATTTTTAAAAAATATTCATTTTTATTCAGTTTAATCTAAACCCCAAAATAAGTGAAAATAGAAATAAACTGAATAAAAAATGTAAACATATTTTTAAAACTTGATGAAAACTTAAAAATAAGATCGAATAATTGATACGTACATAAAATCGACATAAACTTTTATAAATTAGATATAAATAAAACATTCATATTAAACACTAATGCTGTAACCAAAATGCTATTATAGTTCTTGATATTTTAATTGTAGTTAATTTTATGCATTTTCAGTATTAATAATTTTTTTAGATATTATTAAAATTTTATTAATTTCTTTTTTAAAAGATATAATGTTGCTATTTCAAGTTTAGTGTCACATTTTTGTTCCAGTCAGTTCTTTAAAATATTTTTTTTTTTTCAATTATTTTAAATCTGATATTATCTCATGATATGATCTGATATTATTTCAGATTTATTCCAGGAAATGTTTGACTCTAAGTTAAAGGTGCAGTAGGTGATTGTCTTCAGAAACCTTTTTTTGTTGTGCTGGTTGATCTAAGTGTGTTTATGTGTATTTTTATATTCTGGGTAAGGCATAAGACTAAAAAATGTTCATCCAATTAAAATTTGTTGGGCTGATAATTCCTATAACTCTGATAAGTAGCCCCAACCTGTCTGTCAACAAATGTAGATTTGTACATCTGCGCGCTCTTGTTTGAGCAGACAGATCTGGAAGATTTGCAAGAGAGTGACAACACTAAAAACAAAGGCCGTTTAAAATCCTGAGTTACTTTTGCACGCTGGAGGAACGATGACAGCATGGCTGAAGTATTCCTCTTAGACAGGTGATGTTATGTTTTAAAACTATTTTAGTCACACAAAGCTGACAATGTGTTGTATCATGAATGGGTTATATGCACAGAAGTGTTGTTCAGCCACTGAAATCTCCTGGCGAAAGATTGATTTGACTATTTCCAGTTTCATAAGGGGTAGCATTTACAGCATTGATAATATAGACTTTTATTTAGTTTAACAACAAAACATAAGTAAATATCGCTATTCCACCTAGCCTGCTTTACTGAGGCAAAGTTGCTTTTATATTCACATTGGTTCATTTTTAAACAATGACAACCTGTGACGCGCTCCCCATATTGTTTACCATGCTACTCTGAATATTCGATCTGAAATAGCATGTAAGTACGGCTTAGTAATAAATTTAATTCCTGCAAGCTGCTGGCCAACCACTAAGCATACAGTAATCGCTTTAGGACAAAGTGCATGAGAACAGCGATCCTTGCATGCATGAAATATTGCACATTATGACAAGTTTGGTTTGCAACACAACTAAAAATGTGTTGATATATTACAGTTTTCATTCAGATTGTAGTTTTATAAAGTACTATAAAGATTTTAACTGTCTAATGACATGATCTAGAGGGTTGTCTGCTGTCATCTTTATGGTGCGTGTGCCTTATTTCAGGGGGCTTGGCTTTAGACGGCAGGGCAGGGACTGTGTTTTCAAAGCTATTCTGCTAACAGTTAGCGTTTGGGCAGATAACCGACTGCACCTTTACCATTTCACTCTTTAATAAGTATTTTAACAATAACTAAAAGAAGCTTTTATCTCAGTGCTAGTACAGTATTCAATTCCAAAGGCGTATACTGTAAGAGCCATGTGATGAATGAACAAAAAAAAGCTCAGAGGGAAAATTCCACTAGTCATCATTTACTCAGCCTCGCGTCACTCCAAACTCTTGCAACTTTCCATCTTCCCTCTTTTTTTCTGTTGTCACATGGCTTGAGAATGACATAAGGGTCAGCAGATGATGACATAAGATTAATTTCTGCCTGGAAATAAGACCAAAAACTGGGAGCGGATAGTAGCATCAGCTGCAATAGGAGTGCAGTATAGTGAGGACGGGTGCATTAGTTTTGACAGCGTACGGAAGATGGAGGAGAGAAAGCCAGCATTAGCTGAGACAGGAGCATTGGCAAACTCCTGATGATGAAAGAGGCTGAACTGCAGCGGCTGCTTCCCCAGCGGGAGTTACAGCGCCGGTATTAGGGTGTGAACCCAACCAGCTACAGCTTTCAGAATTACAGCCAGTCAAGCAAAAAGAGCTTCGGTCTGGGGTTTCACAAGATCCCAATCTCAATTTGGCTAAATTGGTGAGGCTCTGGATAGACGGCTGTTTATATAGACCCTGAGGATGCATTGCAATGATCTGATAAACTGGAGCAGGTACTCCTGAATGGAGCGTTTGGTGGTGGGATTAAGAACAGACTTCATTTCAATAAAAGTACTCAAATCAAGGATAAAAAAACTAACCCTTTGAATAAAAAGCCTGAAATTTGACCCTGGAACTGCTTGAACAAAACAGAAACTAAAACTGAAATGAATTATAGAAACGTCTCACCCGATTGACAAAGTCCTGGTGTCCAGGGTAATAGGTGGTGACGATGGAGAAAATGTACCAATCATACTCCTCCATTATGTTCAGCATAACAGAGGCCTGCTGCTCGATAGAGGGACCAAACTGGAAGAACATGGAATGGTCATCCTGCAAGAAACAAATACACATTATAAGACGACTATAACTAAATGTATAAATAGGTATACGTATACAATAAGTCGCTTGGGAAAAATGCTACAGTATATAAATTTAAGTTAGGACATATTTTAGTCTAATACGATTGAATCTTCTATCTTAAAGCACCATTAATTTTAAATTGAGCACTTTTGTAATTCATACCCCAGCATATATACTGTAGTGGCATGAACGGCAATACTGTACCAAACATTTCACTTACACAGGAAATTCAGTTCAATTCATCTTTATTTCTATAGCACTTTTACAATGTTAACTGTCTCAAAGCAGCTAAACATAGACATTGTAGTAAATTGAAACTGTGTCAGTCCAATTTTCAGAGATGAAGTTTAGTTCAGTTCAGTGTGGTTTCATTTTCACTGCTGAAAGTTCAAACAATGACGAGCAAATCCATGCACAGCTCCACAAGTCCCAAACCAAGCAAACCAGTGGCGACAGAGGCAGGGAACAAACTTCACCAATTGACGAAGTGAATTAAAAAAAACTTGAGAGAAACCAGGTGAAATTTTAATCAAAGTTTAGTATTTATCAGTGTATTATTGTACAAGATTTCAAGAGTTCACACTTAGATATTGCTTGATGCTATTAGCAGGTTTGGCATGCTGTCGTGGGAGAGAACCCTGAGCTAGGAGATAATTGAGCCCAGGGCTCCCGCCTGGTCAATAGAGCATGTAAGGGGAGTGCGAGATCAGGTGGTTCTCAAGAGGTCCCAGTGGTAAAGGAGGAAAGGGGAGAAGGGGTGGATGGGGGGTTTCTTCGGAAAACGAAGATAAGGGAGTCATTTTTGCTAGGCTACTAATAGTGAGTTTGGATTAATCTGATTGGCTAACTAATGATTGTAGATGAGAGACCAGCTGCAGTCAATCATATCACGTGCTCCTCTTGAAATTAGTCTGTGAAACTTCACTTAAATTTAAGATTTCTCATTTAAGGTTTTCTCTGTTTTTTTGTTCTGTTTTTGAAAAGCGAGTACAATTCTTTAAATAAAACCATAAACAATGCTTACTTCACAAGAAGTAAGAACCTGTGTTTGTTTTTTTAAGTACTTTCCAGACCTTAAATCCATGTCTAAAATTCAAGTACTTTCAAGAAGCCTGAGATCGCTGTTATATGCAGTGATTAATAATTTATTGCTTGCTATATGATTGAAAAAATAAAACAACCAAAAATTCACAGCGCCTTCAAAATAGTCCAGTAGCGTAGCTCAAAAAAAATCCCAAAAAGAATGAAATAACCGAAGAAAACGTTAAGCATTGACAGAAGTTTGTCAATGTTTGGGACTGACAATGATCAACACTTAACCAAAACGTTTACATTTTTTTGGGGGGGGGGGGGGGCTTTTTTTTAAGTAAACTGTTTGTCAACTAAACTGTACTTCTACTGGCACAGTTTCAATTTACTAGAACTTCTATGTTAAGCAGCTTTGACACAATTTACAATGTAAAAGCGCTACAGAAATAAAGATGATTTGAATTCAACTTAATTTCACTTTTGTTATTTGAGAGTATGCACATTTTTTCTTCAGTCAATTAATTCTTTTGTCATACGATTGGCAACAATTCTTTGAACCAAAACTGATGACAATGCAAAAAAAAAAAAAAAAAAGCCTCAAATAGTTAAGACAAGATCATTTCCATACATATAGACCAGAAATCCATTGAAAGTCTTGCGATTGAAAGTTTGTTGAAGCAGATAATGATTGCCATCAGGGTCAAATAGTGGAGGAACTCCCATTATCAACACACGATCTCAGCCAAAAAAAAATCCTCTTGATGTCAAAGTCATGACAAACGCTTATGGTCTAAGCATATACAATATTTATCATGTTTAGAAATTAAAATGATCAAAATGCCCCACAAAATCAAGATAAGGTGCAAGAAATGGTCCTGCACAATTATATCACAGCACTATCCCAGCAGGCACAGGACGTCAACACAATGTTAGATTGACGTTGCGTCCTAACATCATGGGAACATGCATTTTGTTTGGAAATGAAAATCGGGTTGACGTCAAAACTGAATGTCAAGCTGACGTCAATGTCCAACGTTCAACCTAAAATCAACCAAATATCAACATCTAATGATGTTACAGCTTGGAGTTGACGTCTATCAGAAGTTGGATTTTAGTTTGCCATACCTGACGAATAAATGTCAGTATTTGACATAAACATGACGTTGGTTTAAGATGTTGGCTTGAAGTTGGATTTTGGTCACTTATCAACACAACCTAAAATCAACCAAATATCAACATTATTTGATGTCATTATTGGATGTCAAAATATTGTTGTCCTTAGACGCTAACTAGACATTGAATTTTGGTTACCTGACATCACAAGTTAAATCAAACCTAACATTAATGTCTTATGAGATTGTGTGCCTGCTGGGATGGATGTTAAAGGAATATGAGAAAGTCACATGTGAAAATGAATTAACAATGTCAATTGGCACCAGCACATTTCAATCTGTTTTGCATCAGAATTTTAATGTTTTTTTTTCTTTCAGCACTTTTTTCATGAGTGCATGTGCTCTTGCTGACTAAATTCTGCTCATGAATAGTCTTATCATAAACAACAAAGTGCAGATATGATGCAAGTAAGAGATTTATGTTGCGGTTTCAGCAATCCTAGGAATAAGTTTGAAAAACAGGCGCTAGACTAAAACCATAGATTTTGTGTCAGATTAGGATGTGCCTTGTCTGGAAATATTTTACATACAACACTGATAATCATTATCAAACAACAAGAGTAATATTTGTTAAGTAATGAAAGTGAAAAGAATGTTTTAGTCATAATATTGCAGCAGTGCCATTGTAATCAATTCATTTTTAAGATGTATATTTATAATTACATACAATTTTGAAAAGTTCATTCATTCATTTTCCTTTGGCTTAGTCACCACAACAGAATGAACCACCAACTTATCCAGCATATGTTTTACACAGCGGATGCCCTTCCAGCTGCAACCCAGTGCTGGGAAACATCCATATATACTTATCCACACTCATATACTATGGTCAATTCGGTTTCTTAAATTTACCTAGATAATGTCTTTGGACTGCGGGAAACTAAAGCACCCGGAGGAAACCCACACTAACATGGGGAGAACATGCAGACTCAACTGCCAATTGACCCAGCCGGGACTTGAACCAGAGACCTTCTTGCTGTCATGCAACAGTGCTAATCACTGAGCCACGGTGTCGCCCTTTTAAAAAGTTTGTTGCTACTAAATATAGTTTATAGTATTATGACTATTTGAAGCATTTAGTATAACAATACAACACAGATACAATAAATATATACTTTATGTTTAAAATTCTGCTGCTAAACACTGGTACACTGCAAAAAAAGGCTTCTCTATACAGATTTTCTTGTCTTGTTTCTAGTTCAAATATCTAAAAATCTTAAATCAAGAAGAAATTTCTAATAAGGAAACCATATTGTCTTATTTTAAGAAATAAAATGCAAAAAGAAATTGAGCTTCTCTTTAAAACAAGCAAAATAATCTGCAAATGGGGCAAGCTAAATAATCTTGTTTATCCTTTTGACATAAGATTTTTTTTTCTTAAAACAAGACAATAATTTGACAGTGTTTTGCTTGTCTACAAAACACTTCTAGATTTAGGATTTTTAGATATTTGGACTAGAAACAAGACAAAAAAATGTAAGAAAAGTGTTATTTGTGACTAAATTGTAACAGTATAAATACAGCTGAACACAAAATGAATAACCCTCCTGCAAAAATGAATTCCTTTTCAAATATTTCTTTCTGAAGAAAGTCTAATTTAGTTTGGCTGGAATAAAAAAAAAAAAAAACTTTAAAGATTTATTTTTAACTGTTATGGTCAATATTATTAGTCCGCTCAAGTAATTGTTTTTTCCAGTTGACTACAGAACAAAGCACTGTTGTCCAATAATGAACTGCCTAATTAATCCAACTTGCTAGTTAACCTAATAACCCAGTTAAGCCTTTAAATCACACTTTAAGCTAAGTACTAGTGTGTACTGACATCATGATGGAGACAAGTAATTTAAAAAAAATGAATTATTAAAACTAATAAGTTTAAACTTGGCAAAATATATAAACTAAATGTTTCATTTAGAATCATTTTGTCTTCAACTGTACGGTATATACTGTACACTCAGTGGGCACTTTATTAGGTACAACTTATTAGTACCGTGTTGGACCCCCTTTTGCCTTCAGGACTGCCTTAAGCCTTCGTGGCATAGATTCGACAAGGTACTGGAAATATTTCTTAGAGATTTTGGTCCATATTGACATGATAGCATCACACAGTTGTTGCCGATTTGTCGGCTGCACATCCATGATGCGAATCTCCCGTTCCACCACATCCCAAAAGTGCTCTATAGAATTGAGTTCTGGTGACTAGGGAGGCCATTTGAGTACAGTGAACTCATTGTCATGTTCAAGAAACCAGTCTGAGGTGATTTGCGCTCTATGACATGACGCGTTATCCTGCTGGAAGTAGCCATCAGAAGATTGGTATACTGTGGTCATAAAGGGATAGACATGGTCAGCAACAATACTCAGGTAGGCTGTAGTGTTGACACAATGCTCAATTGGTACTAATTGGCCTAAAGTTTGCCAAGAAAATATCCCCCACACCATTACACCACCACCACCAGCCTGAACTATTGATTGAGAACTAAGCAGGATGGAGTTACTGTTGTTTTTCTAACATCTCAAATCAGTCTGGCCATTCTCCTCTGATCTCTGGCATCAACAAGGCATTTGCGTCCAAAGAACTGACGATCACTGGATATTTTTTCTTTTTCGGATCATTCTCTTTAAACACTAGAGATGGTTGTGCTTGAAAATTCCAGTAGATCAGCAGCTTCTGAAATACTCAGACCAGCCCATCTGACACCAACAACCATGCCACATTCAAAGTCAAGTTTGTTCCCCATTCTGGTGCTCGGTTTGAACCGCAGCAGC